AGAGAGAGAGAGAGAGAGAGAGAGAGAGAGAGAGAGAGAGAGAGAGAAGAAGGCCCGCCCGAAAATGTGGTGGGAGGGCGCTGAAATGAAGTGTATGAGCGCATCGACGAGTTGGGACGCGTCTTTGGAGAGATAAGGTGGAAGAGAGGACTCAACGTAACTTCATGTTTTTATCCCTCTCCAAAAGGGGATCCACAGACTTATCAGCCGGGTGTCCAGTTATCGTTGAGTCGAAGGAAGAGTCTCAGTGGGTTAGTTGACTCCCGGTCTCTTGGTCGTCGGACAGCCTGCCGTCCATCCAATGTGCGTAAAAGGGCTCTATTTCCTCACCGTCCTGTCTGGACTCGCAGCTTCAGGTGAGACTCCGGTTAGAGTAGATAAACCGAGGAAAAATATTTTGTTTTTGTTAATATGAGTTGTTTTTTTAAACTTTGTATTGGGCGTAATACAGTCTAGTGTGATCTATCCAAGTGTATTTTTAATTCCATGTGTTTTAAAGTCAACCAATACCACGTTATTTTGAGTTCTATGTTCCCACTGTGATACAGTAGCCTCTACTTAAATACATTCTTTAAGACGATGCTAATTATATAACAAGGCTATATCTGCTTTCATCTGGGTTTTCCAAAAGTTTACATCGGCAGTGTTTTTTTTGTCCCACATCCCAAGAGTGATTTTAAGACGTAACAGGAAGGCCGTTTGGAGACGCTCCCGACAATCAAGTTTCAAAGTAAAAGGGGAAACCTTGATTGTCTGTACATTAGTGAAAGCTCCGCAGGGACCCCTAAACCTCCATCTCCGCGCGTCATTGGGAAGTGGAGAACTTGGCACAGTGGCACCGCGCGTGAAAGTTGACCACTTCTGACGACATAATGACTTTACAGTAGGCCTTTTTTTACTGGCATCAAATCCCGGTCGCATTGTTTTGGGGTTATATGCAACCTCACTCCTTTCCTGCCTATTAATGTGCATCCGTGCTTACGTTCACACAGAATGTGAAGTGGCCCACTGGAAGGCAGATAAGTCCTCCTGCTTCCCGTGCGGGGGGGGTGTCCAGGAGTCCAGGATATGACAGTTTGAATCATAACAACTCAGATACAAACAACCATCAAAACAAGAGATGTCTGATTGTTATAGCTGCTCACATCTAAATGCTGCAGGCTAATGGAACATGTTTTAATATTACGAATTAGCGCTATCAGGGGCAATTTATTCAGCAGACGCCAGGCTGCTTAACCTTGAAGTAATCTGTGTGCATCCCATTTAAGTGGATTATATTGATTGAGCATGTCCATCCGCTGCCAAAGCACCATGCAGGGTTTCACTATAATAGCAAGCTGCTTGTGTTTACAAGGAGCATGTGCCTGCAGATCAGTCACTGCATCACAGGCTGAATATACTGTGTGGACATAGAGGGATAATCAAATAACAGCGTGTGTGGGGGGGGGGGGGGGCATGTTGGTAGTCATTACAGCTCAACAGCATCGTATCTGTTATGCCGCAATCATTCCAATCACTTCCATTGCCTTTGGCCTAACTGTTGGCAAAATGGCACGACGTGATTAAACAAACCATGCAGACTCTCATCTCGTTTCCAAGAGACGTGTGTGGTGTAAAATTGCAATTACCTGCGCAAAATGGCTCTGATTTATTTCCCTGCTTCACCGATTCCTCCCCTCAGGTACGACAGATACGACATTAAAGCAGCACAACATATTTACCCATCCGCCCGCCACTCTTTTTGACATGATCAAAGACAGTTAGTGTTCATTTGCAGACTTGCGGCCTATTTTTTTAAGGAGATATGATATTGACCTAACAGAATAATCTCTCTGTGCTGCTCCAAATATATGGCTGTTATAACTGTTATGAGGCTCCATGGCAAACATTGGTGTGTGCTTTGTGTGTCTATCATTACACCTCCAAGCGGATGTCTCCCATAGAACCTCCCGTTGTTCTCTTGTTTTGAGCCGTTGAAATCTTTAAAAGGAAAAAGTGATGTTTGAACTGTAGGCAGAAGGCTTCAGTAGTCAGACTTCCCCAGCAAAATCTCAAGTTTAAAGTGAAAGAAAACGCCACATTCGATGGACAGAATTGATATCTTATTCTGTCCTGTTGTCCTGTTCTGTATTTAATACTTTTCATAATGTAATTTGACAGCAGTTTACATTAAAACATTGGTTTAAAAGCCGGGCAAAATAACAACCCAACTGTGGCCAGCTAATTAGAAAAGATTAAGATTAGACCAGATTACTCTCATTTCTCCACCGGACACAGACAAGGGGCTAAAATATACATTTTCTTTTTGAATCCGTCTTTGTATTTTTTTTTCTTTTGTCTTCTTCTAACATTTTCTTCTTTAGCCAGAAGTCTGAAATGATCACAAGGCTGACGTGTGCCAACCTGTCCTGACTTACAGGTTTAACACGGCCCCCCCCCTCCGTCAGGTTTACAGTAGACGAGCAGCCTCTTGCCCTCTTGCATCTGTTTACTGGGATGTAACGGTTATTTCTCTGCCACGGCGGCTCTAATCTCGCCAAAATAAGAGGTGAGGTCGGTATAACAAAGCATGGCTGCGGCCCTTAAATCGCTGTACTATGTTGACACACCTTGGAGGACGTCTGTCTCTTTTGTGTTGGGTTGACAGGATTGCTTTGGGGGTGTGTAGAGTTGACAAAGACACATTTGTTTGCAACAAAACACACCAATCCCCGACACGGTTGGCTTCTGTGAAGTGTTTGAGCGTAACGGCAAGGCGCTCCTTGCGTCATGTTTAAACCACAAGACTGTGCTCGGCTCCGAGTGTAAGCAGGGATTTGAAATACACTTCTCACTGAGCTGAAACATGTTTGGAGGTTCCTCCGAGGTTTGAGTATATGTACACACACACACACACACACACACACATACACACACACACGCGTCTTATGTTCATCTGAATCTGTGCAAGTGCAAATACTGCATGTTTGTGAGCATGGGTTTCTGTTTGTGCAGTCACATTCTTACACACTCCGTCAGCTGGTCACTCGCTCTCAAGTCAGTTTAGAGTTGTGGTAAACAAGTGGATCTTCCAGCTAAAGCAGCACCTCCACTGGGTTTACTGCATGTGTGGGATACTGCAACAGTTTCCACAGAATATCAGCAGCTGTTTTCATTCTCATCAGTTTGATAATAATGAAACGCAGAGCAGTCATGATGATAGAATGTGATGGGAATGGGAAGTTTCTCCCGGTCTTATTTTCCTTTTCTATGTTGAGTTCAGTATGACTTTTGGATGTATTCCTGCATGCAGCCATTGTTATATAAAAACGCTGACGCATAGAAATTTAAAGAGTAGTAGAGGCAGCTACTTATCCGGTTTTGCTTACTAATTATTTGACAATGTACTCAGCAATGTAAATGAATGAGAGTGTAAGTAGAGGAGAGAAGGGGTGGGGCTAGTGGGTGGGGCAGGTGAAGGACACTTCAATGTTCCCTCTTGAACATTGAAGCCCGGCCCATGTGAGTGCTTTTCTGGTTTCGGTGTCTCACTGGCAGTCCAGTGTCCAGCAAGTTTATGTCTTTGATTATGTACAGTAGCTACATGGGGAGGGAATACAAAGGTGTAAATTACTACAAGTGGGATGTTACTTTTAGGATTCTTTTAGCTCATAGTTTTCTAATGTTGGCCTGATTGGGAAATAAAGTGGCTCACTGATAATTTAGCGATAGGTTGTCATGAAATTTGGGGACAAACGCACAAAACAGTGTCCAAATTAATGCAGCAGAGGTCAAGATATCCTGATTTTTAGTCGGCTCCAAAGAAACTGGACGCCTACATCCTCCAAGTGGCATCTTTCATTAGATCCTCCCTGCCTGGTAAACCCACATCTTTCAAACTTCATTCCAAAGTTTGTGACACAGGCTTTCTGCCATACATTTGAAGACAATTTTGAGATGTTATCAGGGTTATTTTCTTATACTTTATAGTTAGACTTTGTAGCGGTTGATGCGGTTAAAATGCTAAAACTTACTGTAACAGCAGCACAAGCTGAGAGGAGTCACAAAGTCCGTGAACTGACTTAATCTCAGTTACACAGCGATATCCATCTAAAGTCTGCATTAGCCTACAAGCTTCCGGTCATTCTCCTAGACCAAGAAGTCAAACCCTTAACACTGTGTCCACACAGGAGGCGGGAGCAGCATGTCAGCAGAGCAGCAGCTTCAGGGCTGTCTGTCTGTGTCCACACAGGATGCGTTCAGGCACGGTATAGAGTGTGGGTCACCCAGCTTTTGACGGCGCTCAGAATCCAACACGCTAATATACGAGTGTCAAAAAGAAGAAGACCTGAAGAGTAACAATATGCTTCTGAGTTTACATGCATGTAGTGAAATGAAGGCCTGTTTAGACAGCGGACTCACATGAGACTAAAATCAACCCGACTTGCAGTTACTAACAGATAATGTTTAAATGCTTATTAGTTCAACTTTTCATCTGTCAGACGAAAATTGTATCTTCAGAGCCACAGATGATATTATTCAATTATTTTACAGACTGAGTAGTATTTTTCTTTGACAAGTAAACTGATCTGTATTGGTGAGATATTTGCGGCCCTTTAAGGCGTAAAGCACAGAGCAGAGGCTTGTAACCTGTACCTCCTCCACAGTGTGCTTTCTGATCTCTGTATACAGTAGATTGTCATTTGCTTACTTATTCATCTGCTCAAGAGCAGAGGTGGAAGTCACAGTGGGACTGGATCCAGTCTGACTCACACCGCTGCAGGACACTGAACATACTAGCTTCGTAGTAAATATGTGAAGTCCTTCGAGGGTTCGACCGTCCTTCCAGAACAGAACCCTGTGGTTGTGTTGTGTCGGAACGTACGCGTCGGACCCCCCCCTCAGGAGTTTGTAATCCCGGGGTGAAGTTGTTGAGTCAGCTGCGAGGTGGGAGTGGAAGAGGTTTGATGGATTAAACTCTTATCCTCACTCACCCACTACACGCTTCCTCTGGCTGCCGCCTGATGAATTACAATTGGCCTAGAGGAAGTAGGAGGGGGGATATAGAGAGAGAGGAAGAAAGAAAAAGAGATTGATGCTTGGTCTGTGTTTGGACCGACCTTCAGTGTTTCCAAACACATTTTTATCATTTTCTAAAGTGTGGTTGATACGTCTATAGGGTTAAATGAGGATAAAGAACAGTAAATGCATTTTCAGAATTGCAATTTGTGACATTTTTCATACGAGGAAATGTCTGTTTTTTTGTCGATATGAAAAAAAAGAGTGATTTCCCATAAATCCCTTTAATAACAGCTTTTAGATTTGCTGTTCCAAACACCCGGTGTCTGGTCCATCTCTCTGGTAGTGATACATTTGG